AGGGAATTGTTCAATAGCCATAGAGTTTCATTTCCAAGATGAGAAAATTCTAGAGATCTGTTGCACAAGGTGCATATAGTTAATACTACTGTACACTTAAAAAAATTGGTTAAGATGGTTAAAAATAAAAGAACCCCGTACATTTTATTTGTCACCACCTATCTCCACATCCCCACCTACCCTAGCCCTAAGCAATCACTAAGCTACTTTCTGCCTCTATAGATTTCTCTATTCTGGATATTTCATATGAATGGAATCACATAATATGTGGTGTTTTGTGGCTTTTCCCACTTAGTATAATGTTTTCAAGGTACATCCATATTGTCGTATGTATCAGTACTTCACTATTTTTACGGCTGAATAATTTTCCATTATATGATATACTACATTTTGTTTATCCATTCATCCATTGATGGACATTTCAATTGTTTCCACCTTTTAGCTATTATGAATAATGCTGCTATAAACATTTATATACAAGTTTTTGTGTGAACATCTATTTTCACGCCTCTTAGGTATATATCTAGGATTGGAATTACAGGGTCATATAGTGGCTTTACGTTTAATCATTTAAGGAACTGTCAGAGTGTTTTCCAAAGCAGCTGCACCATTTTACAATCCCACCAGCAATGTATGAGGGTTCCAGTGTCTCCACATCCTTTCTTCTGACTTTTTGATTCTAGCCACCTTAGTGAGTGTGAAGTGTATCTCATTGTGGTTTGGATTTGCATTTCCCTGATGACTAATGATGTCCAGCATCTTTTCACATGCTTATTGGCCATCTGTATATCTTCCCTGGAGAAATGTCTATTCAGATCTATAATGGGTTGAATAACGTCCTCCCCCAAAGTCATGTCAGTCTGGTACCTGTGAATGCGAACTTTTTGGAAATAGGGTCTTTGCAGATGTAATTAATTTAAGTTGAGGCCATACTGGACTAGGGTGGGCCCTAAATATAATGACTGGGGTCTGTATAAGAGAGACAGAGACAGAGGGGGAGGAACACAATGTGAAACGGAGGCAGAGTTTGGAATAATGGGTGTGTAAGTCAAAGAATTCCAAGGACTACTGGCAATCACCAGAAGCTGGAAGACAGGCATGGAACAGATTCTTCCTCAGAGCCTCCAGAGGGCACAGGTCCCTCTCGACACCTACCTTGATTTCTAGCCTCCAAAATTGTGAGAGAATAAATTTCTGTTGTTTTAAGTCACACAGTTTGTGATAATTTGTTACGGCAGTCCTAGAAAACTAATACAAGATCCTGTGTCCATTTAAAAATTGCGTTGTCTTTTTAACCTGTAAGAGTTCTTTATATATTCTGGATACAAGTCCCTTATCAGATATATGATTTACAATTTTCTCCCATTCTATGGGTTGTCTTTTCACTTTTTTGATGGCTTCCTTTGAAGCACTAAAGTTTTTAATTTTTATGAAGTTCAGATGATTTTTTTTTTTTTGCTCATGCTTTTGGTGTCATATCTTAGAATCCTTTGCCAAATCCAAGGTCATGAAGATTTACCCCTATGTTTTCTTCAAAGAGGTTTTTTTTTAAAAAAGATTGGCACCTGAGCTAACAACTGTTGACAATCTTCTTTTTTTTTCTCCCCAAATCCCCCCAGTACATAGTTGTATATTTTAGTTGGGGGTCCTTCTAGTTGTGGCATGTGGGATGCCGCCTCAACATGGCCTAATGAGTGGTGCCATGTCCGTGCTCGTGAACTTAACCACTCGGCCACGGGGCTGGCCCCTTCAAAGAGTTTTATAGTTTCAGCTTTTACATTTAGATCTTCGATCCATTTTGAGTTAATTTTTATATATGGCATGAGGTAAGGGTCCAACTTTATTCTTTTGCATGTGGTTATCCAGTTGTCCCAGCATCTCTGTTGAAAAGACTTTTCTTTCTCCCATTGAATGGTCTTGGCACCTTGTTGAAATCCATCAATTGACCACAGACATATAGCTTATTTCTGGACTCTCAATTCTATTTCATTGATCTACATGTCTGTCTTTGTGCCAATACCACACACGTGTCTTGACTATGTTTGCTTGCAATAAGTTTTGAAATTGAAAGGATTACCTCCTAGTTCTTTTTTTCAAGACTTTTTTGGCTATTCTGAGTCTCTGGCCCTTCCTTATAAATCTTAGTATCAAGTTGTCAATTTCCACAAAAAAATCAGCCAGGATTCTGATAGAGATTGCATTGAACCTATAGACCAATTTGGGGAATACTATGATCTTACCAATATTAAGTCTGCTGACTCACAAATATGGATGTTTTTCTGTTTATTTAGATCTTCAATTTCTTACAACAATGTTTCATAGTTTTCAGAGTATAAGTTTTACACATTTTTTGTTAAATATATTCCTAAGTATTTTATTCTTTTTGATACCATTATAAGTGGAATTATCTTAATTTCATTTTTGAATTATTTACTGCAAGTGTTTAGAAATACAATTGAATTTGGTATATTGATCATGTATGCTGCAACCTTGCTGAACTTGTTTATTAGTTCTAATAGTTTTTTAGTGAATTTCTTAGGATTTTCTATATAAAAGATATGTCATGAACAAAGATAGTTTTACTTCTTAATTTCTAATCCGAATGCCTTTTCTTTTTCTCGCCTAATTGCTTTGGCTGGGACTGCTGGTACAATGTTGAAAAGAAGTGGCTAGAGCAGATATCTTTGTTTTGTTACTGATCTTAGGAGGATAACATCTAGTCTTTCACCGTTAAGTATGATGTTAGCTGTGGAATGTATGTAGATGCTCTCCACCATGTTAAAGAAGTTCCCTTCTATTCCTACTTTGTTGAATTTTTTTTGGTGAGGAAGATGGCCCTGAGCTAACATCTGTTGCCAATCCTCTTCTTTTTGCTTGAGGAAGATTGTCCCTGAGCTAACTCCTGTGCGAATTTTTTTCTATTTTGTATATGGGATGCCACCACAGCATGGTTTGATGAGGGGTGTGTAGGTCCATGCCCAGTATCCGAACGTGTGAATCCCGGGCTGCCGAAGCAGAACATGCAAACTTAACCACTAGGCCACCAGGCTGGCCCCTGTTGAATGTTTCTTAATCGTGAAAGGGTGTTTGGATTTTTACATGAATTCTTAAAAAGTAAACTTCTTCCCCTAGGATGGATGAATTAGTTAAATATATCCCTCTCTGCATGGATGATATGGAAAAAGGCATCCCTCACCCTCCAAATGGATGTTTTAGAAAAAGCTCCCCCCACCCCCCGATTTGGGTGGACACAGTCCCACATTGGTGTGTTTGACTTGGTGAGCCAAGTGCTCCTCTCTCATCTGAGCCCCCTTATTTAGGACCTAATCTATACATGGTAGCCTTGCCTCACAATCAATTTTTTTAGTATCTGGTTTCCTAGTGCCTGGGGCCTCTTTGATTCAATTTTTCCCAGAGATTTTATACCAGTGGGGGAGATCTGGATGAGGGACAGATATAAAATCTTACATTGATTCTAAGCAACTACCTGTTTTCAATCTACTGCCTTACCCCTGCCTTCTGTGACCCTGATATCTCCAACTCCTGAGCTTCTCTGGTATTTATTATCTTTCTCTATAGGTACCTGAGTTCAACCTGTCCTCTGCTAAGCCATTTGTCTTTCTTCTACCCACTTTCCACTGATATCTTTGTGGAGTTACAGATATCTCCTAGTTCAAAGAAGAGGGAGTTTGTGCTTCTATTTCTTTCTTGTTCTCCTTGTTTTGGAAAGAAAAATTTTCCTTAGAAGAAGAGAAGAAACATTTTTGCCCTCTTGAAATCAGAATTCAATGCCCTCATTCTAGAAGTGTGGAAACCTAATGCCCAAAAAGATTAAATTACTTCATCTCTAGGCTAGCTAATAACAGAGCTAAAACCAGAATTCAGAACTCCTGATTTCCAGCCAAAATTGAACTATGATTTGTTCTTTCTCTATAGAAGCATATAGTTTGAGAGCTGGTAGGTAACTTTGAGGTCCTAGGCCAATTTTCCCAAGTTTTCCATGAATCTCCTTAACAATATAAGTGGATTTCAGCATTGGTTAAAATATCAATGTGAATGGGAGAATTCACTGTCCCACGTCTGTCTATTCTTATTTCAGAGAGCTCTGATTATTGGAAAGATTTTTTCCTCTGAAATGTTTTCTTTGCTTCCGTACATTGTATCTTGTTCTGCCCTTATTAGTTACAAAGAATTGTTTTATGTAGAAATAACATAGTTTGGTGAATAGAAGGCTGGCTTTCATAGTCTGGAGAAAAGATACAAAACTCACTGCCTCTAATTCTTTGTCCAACCTAGAACTAAACAGTTCACTAGCACAATGGAGAAAAAGCTCAAATCCCACATAACAAAGATTGGGATAATTACTAAGGAGCAACTGTAGTTCATAAAAATAATTCTAAGCTAGCCAGCTCTCAATCCATTAAATAAGATTGCTGTGTAAGAGAAGGAATGCCTAATTATCAGCTAGGTCATGGAAAGAATTTCTGAAGAAAATATTCGACCCAATTGGGAGAATCTGTAAACAAATTGCCAAGTGAATATTACAGGCAGATAAGACAAGTTGCGTAAGTACAGAAAGGTTGAAAAGTATGAGTTGCTCAGAGAATCAAAAGTATGGCTAGGGGATGTAAAGGGAACAACCTGGTCTCCCTCCCATGTTTCTCCCTTACTTTCACACTACTATCACACTCACAACACTTCTGACACCAGATTTATGGTTTTTTTTCCCCACGCTAAGCAATTCTGTGACACTAGCTAGGGGTCCTACAATTTAACTGAATTCTGACACTACCTACCTGGAGATAGCATCAGATCCCACAGGTTAAGGGCTCAGTCTTACAAAACTGCCCCCACAGCTTCAGATGCCAATCGCAAGTAGCAGGTCCCCAGGTTACCCACTTCTGTCCAACATAGCTACAAATCAGAGGTTCCCATGACCTCCTCCCTCCTGGATTCAATTATTTACTAGAACAGCTCAGAGAACTCAGGGAAACACTCACTTACATTTACCAGTTTATTAAAGGATATGATAAAGGCTGCAGATAAACAGCCAGATGAAGGGATACATAGGGCAAGGTCTGGGAGTGTCCCAAGCGCAGGAGCTTCTGTCCTCGTAGGGTTGGGGTGAGTCACTCTCTTGGTAAATGGATGTGTTCACCAAATGGAACCTCTCCAAACCCCATACTATTGGGATTTTATGGAGGCTTCCTAATGTAGGCATGATCAATTAACTCCATTTCCAGCTCCTCTCCTCTCTCTGGAGAACAGGGGGACGAGGCTGAAAATTCAAAATTTCTAATCATGGCTTGGTCCTTCCGGTGACCAGCCCCTATGAAGGAGCCATCCAGGAGCCCACCCAGAGTCCCCTCATTAGAACAAAGGATGCTCCTGGTGCTCTTATCACTTAGGAATTTACAAGTTTCAGGAGCCCTGTGTCAGGAATGGGGGCAGAGACCAATATATTTATTTCTTATTATTTCACAGGGTACAAGGTGTATATAAGGATATAGAAAATTAGTTAGGAAAGGTAATAATGCTAAATGCTACCATTTTACTAAGCTATAGTCTGGCTACTATTTAATACTTTACATGTAAGAACCTTCACAACAACCTTATGATGTAGATACTATTATATTATTATCCCATTTTACGGATGGGGAAAAGGAGGGATAGGAGTGGTAGGTTAGCTAGCCTAAGATTATATAGCTAATAAATGACAGAGATGGGCTCTGAACCCAGGCAGTTTGCCCCTTATGAAGTGGTCTCATCATGACCTTTCTATTCTGAAGGTTCTGAGACTTCTTAGCTAGAAATATCCTCTTCTCTCTCCCCATATTTCATTTGGCTATCTCAAAGGAGTATCTGAGATAAGAGACAGCAGTCTAAGTTTATCCAGCCAGAGGGGAGGCCAAAGAACTGTTCCAAACACTCTGATCTTCCATATATAACATGGGGTTGGGAGGAGAGACCTGCTGATGGCTGGTGGGCTAAGCTCAGATTTTTTTTTTTTTTTTGAGGAAGATTAGCCGTGAGCGAACATCTGCTGCCAATTCTACTCTTTTTGCTGAGGAAGACTGGCCCTGAGCTAATATCTGTGCCCATCTTCCTCTCTTCTATGTGGGATGCCTGCCACAGCATGGCTTGACAAGCAGTGCATAGTTCTGCAACTGGGATCCGAACTGGTGAACCCTAGGAGGCCGAAGAGTGCGCACTTAACCACTGTGCCACCGGGCTGGCCCAGCTCAGATATTTGAAGCTGGGCAGAGACCCTCGGGGAGGGATATTCTACCTTCCTATCCAAGAGGAAAGAGAATGAAGCTGTAAAAGGGGGAATGAGTATTGGAGGCAATTAGTACTTGATGCAGTTCTTTTGGCTATTTTTATTTCCTATGAACATTTTCTGCAAATGCACATAGAAAATATAAATCATTTTACAAGAAAACTCCCATAAATTAAGCACTGCCAGGCTCTATTCTGTGTTCTATGCATATTAATTCATTTAATCCTCAAAGCAACCCTAGGAGAGAGGCACAATTATTATTTTACAATTGGAGACATTTTTAAAGCACAAAGATATTATTATATAACTTGCTTACAGTTTTACAGCAAAAAAAATGAGGGAGCCAAGTGAAGCTGGAAAGAACTACCATAAAGTTGTCAATAAGTACAAAAGAGCTGGTTAAAAATTAGTTCTGACCTCTGGGTAGCAGAAAGAACCCTGGATTTGGATCAGGACTTGGATTCAGGCTCCAACACTTAGCGCTGTGTAAAGATTTGGGGCTGGTCACTCTGGGCAATTTCCTCGCCCACAAAATGGAGATAATAATACCTACCTCCTCCAGTTTTTGCAAAGGATCTAGAGTAGTGATGATTGTAAAAGCACACAGTAATCTTTAAAATGTTACACAAACGTGAGAAACACTTTCCGGCATTAGATTCAGAAATTTCGGATCCGGACAGTCAGTCCCAACCGGCAAATCCTCCTGGCTCCCTTCCCGGAAACCGGCGCAAGGTCCTCTGGGACTTGTGGTCTTATACAGGCTGTGGCCCGCCTTTCTTCCTTAGTCAGGGCGGCTGGGTGTGAGCCCCGGAAGTACTCGTTGCCTGAGAGGCGTGCTGGTTAGGAAGGCGGGGTCAGAGGTCGTGGGGGCAGAAGGCGTTTCTGCTGCTGGCCTAGTCGCTATGTAGCAGAGGGGCAGGCGCCCTCCTGCATGTTCTGGAAGGTTCTTGGATTCAACTAGGGCAGTAATCCCAGGACTTCTAGTTGCCAGCTTCGGGTCTCTGCTGGCGGAGCGGAGCCGCCGCCGCCATGTTTGGCTGCTTGGTGGCGGGGAGGCTGGTGAGGATGGGGCTGGGTGGTATCAGGGAGGGGGCATGACACCGAGGGCGAAACCCGGGAAAGGGGAGGGTGCTCTGGGACGGGGGATGCGGGGAAACCCCCTCATGTCTGCTTTCCCGCTGAGAGTGTGAGGGTGGAGGGTGGGGCGTTGGGGTTTTTGTTCTCCTTTGCCCCCAGCTCTGTTCGGAGTCATTTTAATAGTAGACAGTATTAGCTGCCATTTATCGAGTGTGCATTACATACTAGGCAACGCATGCGTTTAGTCCATTTCTTGTCATTTCAACCGTCTATATGGCGCTTATTGAGTACCTCAGACTTAATCCTTATAACTTGTGAAATGGTTATTATCATTCCCGTTTTGCAGTTGAGGAACTTAAGCTCAATCGGCAGTATAAATACTCGCCTAAACTCATAAAGTGAGTTGGAGGTAAATGTGGAATCTAGTCTGTGGCGCCCTGTCTCTCAAAGATGAAGGTGCTCGGGCAGTGTACATCTGCTGGGTCCTTTTGGAAGTAAAAATATGCTTAGCATAATTTCAAGGTTTCTGATAGAAACGCGTGAAGCTTTAGTGTGAGCCATATCTGAGATGACCCCGAAGGATGTGAGCAGGGAGTTTTTACTTATTGGTCAAAAGAGATAATAACCTTCCTTGCTGGATTATTAGAATTTAATGAGATCAGCATCTGGAATTGTTCAGGAATAATCTGGATGGCGAATCTTGCTTGCCTCCTTAGAAACCACCAGAAATCCATTTCAGACCTGACTTCTTTCACCTAGAGTTCTTTTCTTCCTCACTGCTTTGTTGAATGTTGCAGCCCCTTTGTTGAGTTAAGTTTTTCATCACTTTTCGGTAATGTATTCCATACGCGGTTCTAAGGAACCACAAAGATAAATTGGAGAAGACTAGCCTCAGAAAGTTTATTGTCTGTCGCTTAAATGACTGAGAGGCCCCTTTTGGTGATGATGGTAATTGGTAATATTGGTGAGAGAACTTTGGATTGCCCCTGCTCTGGATAGGAAAAATGAAAGGACCAGCCTGGAGTGAGTGTGGGACTTAGATGAGTAAATGTCATGAATGAATGAAATTTAAAATGTTTTTATAGAATAAAGAGGCCATATGGAATCCGTGTATCTCTCGTGTTGTCAACTAATTTGGAAGGAAATGTAGTTATAGCGGTACCTGTGTCTGTTTACCTAACACTTAACCTCTGTAACGGATATCCAGTAGACGTTTCTTCAAGATAAGATTTTTTAGGGGTGTTTGATTTTTTAGTTCTGGAGTATTAGAATATGTTAATCAAAATGAAGGGCAAATAGACTTAGCAACATCTCAAAAATTAACTACGTTATTCTCATTTTTCCTAAGGTCAAGGATTAGTGTCATAATACAGACTTACACAATGTCTGGTGCCTTATACAGAGTTGACATTTAAGAAATGTTTGATGATTATTTCAAGATTTGTAAATAACATAATTTTATATGCCTTTTAAGATTATGTGCATGCCAAAAACTGTTGAAATTGAATTTAATACTAATACAGGCAGTGGCTTATATTTGTCGTGTTCCTTTGTTTTATTCTCTATGTTATGCTGGAGGGTTTTTAACTGGGTCGGAAGACTTCAGAAGAGGGAATCAGAACTTGACTTTAAGAATACTCTTCCTTGGTGTCTTGGGAACAAATTTAGGGCAGTTAATATTACTTTATCACTAATACATAGGTAGAATTACACAGTAGATTTTTCTTAAGTCTTTGTAGTAGTAGATAGGATTTTATAGAGGAAAAAAGTAAGTGTTTTAGTAACAATCAGCAAATATTAGGAGTGGAAAAGAAATTGCATTCTAGGTTGTAAGAATTGGCCATATAGAGTCTTTAAAAATACTGATAGTAATTCAGGTTTGGTGTTTTGGTGAATAGAGTGGCAATAGCTATTAATAAAAAAACCAAATAACCTTAGAAGGTAAACTATTTACAGCCTCTTGACTGGAGTGTACCCAGAATTGCTACTTCTCTTTACTAATGGATGTGGTATAGCAATTATCAATAATTTTCTGAAAGTGTAAGAAGGAATTTTTTTTGTGAAAGTAGATTTCTCAAACTTCAAAATAAGATCTCATTCTATAAATTGATGTTCAATTCTAGAACAGAAAATTAGATTATGAAATGAGTGAAGAAGAAACTTGCAAGTTCCCACTTACACATTCAAAGTAGAATTTTTACATTTTGTTTACAGTCTCTTCTCACTATTTGCAGTAGTTATGTTCTGTAAAGTTTATGTGAACACTGAATTGGTAAATACTGAATCATTGCCTATAGGGGAAATATGGGGTTAAGTTCCTACAAGCCTCTGATGACATTTTTTATCAACCTATCATTACATAATATTGTTTTATATGTGTTTCTGTTTAAGGACACCTTATTTAATATGTAGTGTTGATTTGTTAACATTAAACTTAGAGCCAATAACACCATAACTCATGTCTGAATGAAATATATATATAATATATGTTTTCTCAATAAGGCACATAACAGCTTTCTTGGACTTAGGAACACTAGTCAGCATTTCAGCTTGGCTATTTTAAACAGCAAAATCACGAACAGAAAGCCCCAAAATACAATCAAATGTGGGACTAAGTAGACTGAGAAAAGGACACTTGTTTACAGTATGAAAGCTGAAACAAGGCAGCACAGTACATCTTTGTTCTACCTTGGCTGGTAACATGTGCGTCAGGCAACTCAAAATTTTTGCTGCCTCAAAAGTATGATGAATAATGATTTGGGGGTTACAAATATATACTAGTGAGTAGGCAAATTGGCAAATGTGGAATCTGCAAATCATGAGAATTGACTGTAATTACTTCTGGATCGTTCACCTATTTTAATTACCTGAGGTTCTTTACCTTCAAAGTAGAGGATAAGGCTTTGTTAGTATGGTGTTTTGAACAACCTTTCAGTTTTATAACATTCTGAAGCTGAAGTGGTTTATTTATGTGAGTAAAATCCTTTCAGGGCACTTCTGAAATAATTTGGTTATATTTTGAAAAGATTACATTCGTTAAATCATCATTTTAAGGCTATATATATTTGGATTCTTTATTAAAATTAGCGCTCTTTGTGGTGTATTTGGTAATTCCGTATTTAGAGTATCAAATTAACCCAACTTTATACTTGGTATAATGACTATAACAGACTGTACTTGGAGCAGAGCTTACAACAATACTGTAAGGATTATAGAAACTCATCAAACTATTGAACTAAGACGAGTTTCTTATTTTCTAGGTGCAAACAGCTGCACAGCAAGTGGCAGAGGATAAATTTGTTTTTGACTTGCCTGATTATGAAAATATCAACCATGTTGTGGTTTTTATGCTGGGAACGATCCCATTTCCTGAGGGAATGGGAGGATCCGTCTACTTTTCCTATCCTGATTCAAATGGAATGCCAGTATGGCAACTCCTAGGATTTGTCACGAATGGAAAGCCAAGTGCCATCTTCAAAATTTCAGGTCTTAAATCTGGTAAGAATAATATATTAAAATAGTTTCTTTTTTTTTTTCTTTTTTTTTTAAAGATTGGCACCTGGGCTAACAACTGTTGCCAGTCTTTTTTTTTTTTTCCTGCTTTATCTCCCTAAACCCCCCCTGTACACAGTTGTATATCTTAGTTTCACGTCCTTCTAGTTGTGGGATGTGGGATGCCGCCTCAGCTGGCCTGACGAGTGGTGCCATGTCCGCGCCCAGGATCCAAACCCTGGGCCACCGCAGTGGAGCTTGCGAACTTAACCCCTCGGCCACGGAGCCGTCCCCTAAAATAGTTTCATAATTAAACTATTTTCTTAAATAGCGTAACAGAATATGGCTTTTTTACTTTTCATTATATTTTTCTGGTTGCTAAAGTAATATATAACATTATTTTAAAAAGAAATCAGACAATATTGAAACATTTGAAAAACAATAAGTGAAAGACCTCTTTGGCTTCTCACACTCCCATCTTCTGCCCCTGGAGAGAACCACTTGCTATTGTTCTTTTTGTATGGTATATACCTTTGTAAAGGGATTTTTCTGAATTAGTGGGTGTTTTAATAAATATTGACAGAAATCTTCTCATAATTTGTAATATGCACATCTTTGTTTTAAATAAACAGATAAACCAAGTAGACTTGTATAGGAAATAAAATGAGAGTCCTTTCTTTCTATGAAGATCTTTGAACTCTAATTTGATTACCCTTCAGTGTTCTTGCCTTGGTTGTATTGACATTGTGGATGTTAGACCTTACAGGGACATAATCCTTGCTTTGATGCTTTGATGCTTTGAGGTATTTTGTGAAGAAATGTAAGAATGAAACTAGCTATCATTTACTTCCATTGAATTTCTAGTTCCCTTGAAAATCTAGATGAAAACAGCCGTGAAAATTCTTACAATATAAATATACATTCTTCTAGAAATTGTCTATAGAGTCCAAGGAAAAATTATATTTAGGCAACATGTTTATATATTTAACAAACATTTGAGTATCTACTGTGGATGTAAAGGTAATGATTACGTTCTTGTCTGAAGTAGCTTATATTCTTATAAAGGAAGACAGTTCTAGTAGACCAGTAATTAGAAGGGTGAAAGGTAATAGTGGATGTTTGTACAAAGTGCCAAGAGAGAATAGGAAAGGGAACAATTAACACTTGAGTAAGTTGAGGAAGGTTTCTTGGAGGAGGTGATATTGGACCTCTTGGGAAGGTGAGTAGGAGTTTATCAGACCTATGAGACACCTATTGGCATTCTTTTCTAGGTGGAGGTAATATGGATATAATGGATATAATGATGAAAGTTCGAAAGCATAGTGTGCTCAGAATGGCACAAGGCAGGGTGTGTAAGGGTAGGATAGGCAGGCATGGATCATGAAAAGCTTTATGTGTCACACTGACTCATTTGAATTTAATAGGTCAGCAACATTAACATGCTTAGATCACAGACCTATTTGACAGTATTATAAAAAATATGTGTAAAATAATGTAAATACTACAAAATTTGCATATACTCTGAAGCCCATCCATGTATCCTCCATAAAAGACTACTCCTGTAGGTATAGAGGAGCTAGTGAATAATTTTGGGTAGAGAAATGATGTGATCACATTTTGTTTCTTGCCTGAAGACTTGAAGAATGAGCAGTTCTGGTCAAATGATAGACTATTAGCTGCTATTATTTTATACAGTTGGAATTATACAAGAAGATAATGGAAGAGAGCAATATTTAAAGCTAAAAATTGTTTAGAATTGATAAAAAATACTAATCTCTAGATTTAAGAAGCAGGACAAATCCCTGCAGTCTTTCTCAATGGGGGTTCCATGAGCTAATTATCCCTAATCCCTAAGGCAGTGGTTCTTAAAGCATTATTCCCTGACCAGCAACATCTGCATCAACATCACCACCTTGGAACTTGTTGGAAATGCAGGTGGTAGGACCCCAGACCTTCTGAATCAAAAACCATAAGTGGAGTTTGGAAGTCAGTATTTAAATAAGTTTTCTAGGTGTATTTGTTGCATGCTAAAGTTTGAGATCCACTGTAATGAATTAATGCCTCTTACATGTATAGCATGGTATTACTTCTGAACAATCTTTGGGAGAATTAAGAAAACAGTCACTTTCAAATCACTTTTTCTCTTTTCTGTGGCTGTGCCTAAAAATAAATAGACAGTCTAAAAGTAGAAAAAACATAAATAGACAATTCAATACATTCTAGTGAAATTGCTGGACATTAATTATAAAGAGAAAGCAGTAAGGGAACCAGAGAGAGAAGACAAGTCATTTATGACTGAACAGCAGTTAGTTTAGCAGATTTACCAAGAACATGAATAAGAGGTCAAAAACCAACAGATTAGGGGCTGGCCCTGTGGCTGAGTGGTTGAGTTCGTGTGCTCTGCTTTGGCAGCCCAGGGTTTCGCCAGTTTGGATCCTGGGTGTGGACATGGTACCGCTTGTCAGGCCATGTTGAGGTGGCATCCCACATGCCATAACTAGAAGGACCCACAACTAAAATATAGAACTATGTACTAGGGGGATTTGGGGAGAAAAAAAAGAAAAGATTGGCAACAGTTGTTAGGTGCCAATCTTTAAACAAAAAACCAACAGATTAGTATTGTCAGAGTGCCAAGGTAAAATAAAATAACTCTCAAAACTGTCATTGTAAAATGAAGGAAAAGTAAATGTATTTTCAGATGGAGATGGAGAGTTCACTACTCATAGATTATTACTGAAAGAACTCCGGGAGGTAGGTGTACTTTATAGTAGGAACTTCAATCCTGAGTGTAGAAGAGGATGCACAATGCAAAATTAGCAAAGAAACTGGTAAACATGCAGACAAAGCTGGACAACCTGATTGTATAAAACAACACAATAAGTACCTTAAATGCGCAAGAATTAAATATTGAGCTCAAAAATGCATATGACAGGAGGGGTAGTGATCTGAATTAAAGCTTTCTGATGTCCTGTTTTTTAGAAAGAGTGATAATATTGATTCAACTTTTAAGTAATCCTGTTAAATTTTTAAGGAAAACTTAAAAAAAAATGAAAGAGAAAGAAGGAAGAAGCATAGTATATTAAAAACAAAACAAGATGGTGGAAATAATTTCAGTGATATCACTTATCAAAATAAATGTAAACAGACTAACCTTACCAGTGAAAACATGGAGACTCCAGCATGGAATTTTTTTAAAAGGCAGCAAACAAATAATTATATTGTTGTTTATGAGTAATGGGTCTAAAACATTCTAACACAAGAAACAACAATAAAAAGACTATCTTAGGTATATTAATCTTAAGAAAATTAGGGGCCAGTCCCACGGCCAAGTGGTTAAGTTTGTACACTCCACTTCAGCGGCTTGGGGTTTCACTGGTTTGGATCCTAGGAGCAGACGTGGCACCACTTGTCAAGCCATATTGAGGCAGCATCCCACATAGCACAACCAGAAGGACCTACAGCTGAAATGCACAACTATGTACTGGGGCACTTTGGGGAAAAGAAGAAACAAAAAGAAAGATTGGCAACAGATGTTAGCTCAAGGCCAAACTTTAAGGAAAAAACAAAAAAGAAAGATTGAGGCAGAAGTGTTATCAGATGATTATCAGAAAGATAAGACATTCGTTCTCCTGGAATGAGATAATTCCCTAAGAAGACTTAAATATTTCTAGGAAAAGGTAAATGTCATGAATTTGTGTGTATATATAACATAACTTCAAATATATAAATAAAAAATATTGACATTACAATGATAAATGGACAGCCTTACAGTTAGTATGTTAATATACCTCTCGATAATTAATACATCAAGAAAATAAAATATTAGTAAAGAAGGAAGATTTGAATAAAAGTTAACAAGTTTGAGCTAATGGACATTTGTAGAACCCTGCAACTAGTAATTAGATTATACACATTTTTTTAAGTACACAGAGCATGTATGAAATTTGACCACATACAAAGTCACAAAGCAAGCTGAAGCAAATAGCAGATAACCCACAATAGAGTGTAATTACAAATCAAAAGATGAAACATTGCCATGTTTAGAAACTCAAAAATATTTAAAAATAGTTCATGGGTCATAGAATAAAATGGTCATGGAAATTAAACTTCTACAGAAACCAAAATAAAATAAAACATCACATATCAAACCTTTTGAATGCAGGTAACGTAGTACTAAACAGATCAACTCATAGGCTTAAAAGTGTATATGTGGAAGGAGAGATTGAAAGGAGGGAGCTAAGTACTTAACATAAGCAACCCAAAGAAAGTAGAAGAAAGAAAATGATAATTCTAAGACTAGAAATTGATGAGAAAAAGCAAAGAAACAGTAGAGGAACTGAATGAAATAAAAATGTGATTCTTTGAAAAGACTAATAAATGATGAGCCACTGAAAAGATGTATTGAGGAAAAAGAGAAGGTACAAATAACGTTACTAAAAATGTGAAAATGGAGGCATACCTATAAATATAGTAGAGATTAAGTAAAATTTATGAGGAATTTAATACCGGTACATTTGAGAACAACAAAGGAACAGATGAAATTGGCTGTTTTCTAGAAAAATACAGCAGACTGACTCAAGAATAAATTAAAATCCTGAATAGATATAATATCAATAAAGAAATTAAAATCAGTAACTAAAAATGTAGCTCTCTCTTCCACATAAAATTCTCAGGCCTAGATGGTTTTATAAAGTTCAACTAAACCTTTATGAAACTAACTGTTTGTATCTTAAATAAACTGTCAGAGAATAGGAAAAGAGGCAGAGTTACTCAGTTTATATTTTGAAGCCAATATAACCTCCATATCAAAAAGGACAAGGACAACGTGAGAGAGGAACTCTAGCCTAAGCCAATTTTATTTATTTAGGATTTTTATGTCTATGTGCATAAAAAAATTACTAAGTGAATTCAACAAGGTAGAATAACACTTTTCATTATAGAAAATTCAAATGTGTACAAAAGCAGACCAAATGAAATATTGATCTCTCTCTACTCATCACTCAGCT